AATCAGATCCACGTTGAGATGAAAAATCAATGGTAGCAGTAGATGAGGATTGTGGTTTATAAGAAATGGACTAAAGTGGTTTGACACTATGGTGTTCTTCTGCAGACCTAAAGATCTTGGCTCTCATTATATGTAAGTGCACTCCCAGTCAATGTCTGAGATTCATTGATAATACTCGGTTATCCAAACTTAAGTATGGAGCGGTCTTGCACCCAAAACCTATTTAGTTGAAAGTGGGATGTTTTAACTAACAATCCATCGTTATGTTGATAGTTACTAAAAGGATTATACCATCTAGCGAGATATGCTTCAGTAAATGTCACATTTACGGTATACATCAGTAAATTTGCTTGAAATCGCTTTAGTTAATACCTATTAACAACCTAATTTTCGTAACAAATCCATCTGGATGGTTAGCAGACAATCTTGGTTTTTTAAACGTAATACTGATCAAAAACAGATTGAGGTGCCTGATCATAAGCAAGAATAAATAATCTTCATAAGCTAGACTTCAAAGCTAGTTGGGCTAACGTCCGAAAGGTCTTTTCCATATGACAACCTCATATCAGTTACACAACCAAAAAACATACTTGGTACATTGATACTACACCATGCATTCAGAGTAAAACTAAGAATTGTTTACCCATCAGGTTTATAATATTTCGAATCCACAGCGCATAACCAAGTTATTTCTCTCCCTTAAAGTAATTAATATGGCGTTTACTTTTATTACTATGCCTGAGTATAGTGTATAATCTAGGAACTGAAACAACACTTTTATTTGACGTTGTATTTATACAAAGAATATTGTGGGTAGCTTGAAAGCATTTTTAGTTTTCTTTTACTCAGACTACATTTGGGAAATCGATTTAGTGTTGTCAGTTGAATTAAACATCAGTTTTCAGTAATAAATATTATAGGTTGAAGGTTGATTTGGCTGTAGCAATTCTTACACTAAGTATTTCTGTTAAGCTTTAGTTTCTTCTCAAAAGGTCCATTGAGGAAACTGATATGACTTGTCCGGATAGAGGATCTTGTCGATCTGAATAATCCATAGGATGTTAATTCAGTTCCGTGATCAAATGTGTTCAGTGGGATGACCGCAGTATACTTTCTAGATGATATAAAAGTCTGGAGAATAATAAGTAGTGATAATACTAAGCTCGAGAGTAAGCTGGTTCAAATGAATGAGCTAGGTGCTCACAAAGTTTGGATTGGAAGACCAATATCAGAAAGTGACCAAGTGCACATCAGCCACAACGACGACGACAACAACAACAACAACGACCAGAATTACATGACAAATGGAACGCCACTCTCACAAGATTAAGAACACCTAGAAACTTTAAGTCATGACTTGAAAAAGACCTCACACTACAATGCAACAGCTGCTAAATGGTGCTGCGTAGTATGGTCACTTCGCAAAATCTTTAGATTCCTTGACGAAAATATATTTCAGATTTCATACCCCATTCACCTGACACTTCACCTAAAATACTGCATCCACGCAGCTAATCCATGTCTTTTTAAAGATACTGACACTCTCGAGCATGTCTGACAAGTAAGTAATAACACAATAAATGTCCTGACCAGTTTCTCGCATCATAAGAAATTACAACACTTAAATTCTCTACCTTATAATCAAATGTGAGGCCAGGTTACATTGGAATTTCGTGCCCTTAACGATCAGTTATGTGCTGACATGTCTACCTTCTTGTTAGCTTGAAGACTAACCATCCTCGATGCCTTCACAAAAAGATAAAAAGACACAATTAAACACACTCAAGATAGGATTCTATTTTCTCAGTGGTCATCGACAAGATCCTCTATCCGGACAAGTCATATCAGTTTCCTCAATGGACCTTTTGAGAAGAAACTAAAGCTTAACAGAAATACTTAGTGTAAGAATTGCTACAGCCAAATCAACCTTCAACCTATAATATTTATTACTGAAAACCGATGTTTAGTTCAATTCACGTATTTGTGACATGTTTTGGTGTGGTCGCCCCTCGCTTTCTTCCATCCTACTCCTACACCATAAAACATCACTTGTCGGAGTAACAGAGTCAAACGTCGCCTTAAGTCGAAAAATACTACTATTGTGGAACGTCTGAATGTTCGTCTATGTTCTAGGACCTGACGAATCGGGATTATCTGGTCTATACAGCCACGTCCAAGTCGGAAACTAGCCTGGTTTTCTCTAGTCTGCTCTGCACGAGCTTTAGTTAGGCGTCGAAGTATTATTAAAGCTAATATTTTATACACTGCATTAGTCAGACTGATCCCTCTGTGACTGTCACAAGAGGACTTTTGTGCCTTCTTATAGACTGACACAATCAGTGATTGAGACCAGTCAGACGGGATTACGTCCAGTTCCCAGATTCTACCTAAGACCTTAGTCAATCTCACTGCCAATACTGGACTGCCATCCTTAAAAACCTCAGAGGTAAACCTGTCAGGGTCTGCTGCTCTCCCTCGCTTCAGATTTCCTATAGCTTTTTCAACTTCGTTAAGTGTTGGAGGACCTACATCAACATGCCATTCAGGTCGAATGTAGATTGAGGGAAACCGAAGTGTGGCTGAAGGCCAGTTGAAATGATCCCTAAAGTGTTCCGCCCATCGATCAAATCTCCTGGATTGAGAGTGAATGATATGTCCATCTTTTCCCGAGATAGTTTCGCTAAAAGTTGGATTCATAATACCTGTGTCCTTGACAAGTCTTAACAGTTGTCTGCTGCTACTGTAGTCAGATATAGAAGTAACTTCAAACACAGTCCATGTTCTATTCAGGAAGATCTCGGGGGAAGAACAAGTGCCGCAGATAGACTAGAAAGAAGGATATTTCATCAAGATACCACAAAAAGATCTGAGCAAGTGTGAGAGCTACAGGGGCATCACACTACTATCCGTACCAGGAAAAGTTTCAAAAATGTGTTATTGGACTGGATGGAAAGTTCAGTAAACGTTCAGCTTCAAGACCAACAGACCTGATTTATTAGGGATCGGTCGTGCACAGACCACGACCACAGACACCAGGATCATTGTTTAGTAATCGATTAAATGGAACTCGTCACTATACATCAACTTCCTTGACTACGAGAAAGTATTCGGCAGTGTATGTAGGAGGACTTTATGGAAACTTCTTCGGCACTATGGAATGAGTACCTAAGAACATCGTCAACATCACACGGAATTCATACGACGGACTACAGTGCAAAGTGGTGCATGTAGAACAGCTGACAGACGCATTCCAAGTAAGGACCGGAGTCAAACAAGGCTCTCTATTCTCCTCCTTTCTATTTCTTCTTGTGGTTAATTGGATTATCGAGATGTCCACATCTCAAGGAAACCACGGAATACAATGGACAGGTTGGATGCAACTAGACGGTTCGGACTTCGCAGATGACCTGGCCTTTCAATACCGTACACATCAACAAATGCATATCAAGACAGCCAGTGTAGCAGCAGCCTCTGAAGCAGTAGACCTCAACATACACAAGGGAAAAATCATGATCTTCAAATGCAACATGGAGAACACCAATCCAATTACACTTGATGCAGAAACTTTGGAAGATGTGGTCTTTCACGTACCTGGGAATCATCATCGGTGAACAAGGAGGACCTGATGCAGATGTAAAGGCGAGGATTGGCAAAGCAAGGACAGCATTCCTACATTTGAAAAACATGAAACTCAAAACAACTGTCTATAAACCAATATCAAAGTCAGAATCTTCAATACGAACGTCAAGACAGTTCTACTGTACAGAGCTTAAGCTCCGAGAACTATTACAACCACCATCAAAAGGGTACAAGTATTTATAAGCAATTTTCGACACAGTCAGTTGTGGGTTCACGAAACGTCCCACTTATAAGCACTGGGTTTCTTCTGGTTCCTTGCAACTCATTGAAGCCCGTCGGTCTACTCCGGGTGACCGTGAGTTTGACCACAATAGAAGGATGTCACGTATGGAAATTGGGCAAAGCTTGCGTAAGGACCGAGAAGCCTGATGGTCGAAGCGTGCTAATAAGCTGGAAGCAGCAGCTGCATCTGGTAACTACCGGAAGCTCTTCCAACTCATCCGAGCCACTGGCAGCAAGAAGTCTGGTGTGAGCGAAACAATCTGCGAGGATGATGGGATGCCAATCATTAACATCCATCGACGTCTTGGACGATGGGCAGAATTTTTCGAAGGGCAGTTCAACTGGCCTGCTGCTCCGACAACATCGGTCGGACTGTCCTGCCCTCCATGGCCGGTGACGACTGATCCACCAGATGAGGCGGAAAACCGCAAGGAACTCCAACTCTTGAAGCGTTACAAATCACCTGGCCAAGATGACTTACCTCCGGCTCTTTTTAAACATAGTGGTGACTTTCTGGCTAAGAAACTGACGACGTTTACAAAAATCAGGGAGCTAAAGAGTGTACCAGCATCATGGAATCAGTCGATAGTTGTCCCTATCTTTAAAAAGGGTTCACGTCGTCTCTGTAACAACTATCGGGGGATAAGTCTACTTCCGATTGCGTTCAAACTATCGGCTTCCGTCAAACTTCGTAGATTGCTCAAAACCCGAGAAAGATTGACTCGCGAGGAGCAGGCTGGGTTTCGTTCTGGTCGAGGATGTATTGGTCATATCTTCACACTCCGTCAAATGTTAGAATACCGTCATATTTATCAAAGGCCAAACAATCGTAGTGTTTCATGACATTAGGGCTTCCTTCGATTCGTTGGACATGACTGTTCTCTGGGATTGTCTATTGAAGAAGAGTGTGGCTGAGAAGTTCATTAACATCCTAAAAGCCCTATATACAAACACCTCAAGCAGAGTGAGGGCATACAACCACCTTTCTCCATTGTTCTATTCGAGCAGTGGGGTTAGACAGGGTTGCCCAATCTCACCATTCCTCTTCAACTTTGCCATCGATGACATTCTGGAAACAGCTCTGATGGATGTAAGTAATGGTGGTGTGGATCCGTCGCCTGGAGAATGACTTTTCGACCTTGAGTATGCGGATGATATTGTCTTACTGTGCGATAGTGCCCAAGCCATGCAATCCGCACTTAATCAGTTGGCAATCAGTGTCCGTAGGTATGGTATGTGCTTGCACCTTCGAAGTGCAAAGTACTTCTACAAGACTGGCAGGATTCTAATCATGTTCTCACCCTGGATGGTGAGCAGATAGACGTAGTCGAGAAGTTCGTGTATCTGGTAGCTGCATAAGTGCTGGTGGGGGTGTGAGTGATGAGATCAATGCACGTATAGTGAAAGTCAGAGCGGCTTATGCCAATCTGGGCCACCTTTGGCGCCTTCGTGATGTTAGTCTGGCTGTAAACTGTCGGATCTACAACGCGTCGGTGAGGACAGTCTTGCTCTATGCTTGTGAAACCTGGCCTTTCCGAGTTGAGGATGTTAGACGACTCTCTGTGTTCGATCATTGCTGTCTCTGAAGGATTGCTGACATCCAGTGGCAACACCATGTTAGTAATGCAGAGGTTCGGCATAGTGTGTTCGGGCACAGAGATGATAATGCAATCGATGTCACCATCTTGAAACACCGACTTCGTTGGCTTGGACATGTTCTCCGAATGTCGTCCCAGAGAATTCCACGTCGTGCATTATTTGCCGACTCTGGGACTGGTTGGGAAAAGCGGAGAGGTGGTCAGTGCATGACATGGTGTCGTGGTATGAAAGAAAGCTGCAAAGGACTGGCTTGTGTTGGTCCTTTGCGACCCCTTGGTTGGGGTCCGAGAGATGGTACAACACTGTGGCTAGGGACGTTATTAGATATGGCTCAAAATAGAAGCCAGTGGCGATCCTGCTGTAACCTTCTTTACTTTCTTCATAAAAAGTGGTTGTCTCCCTTAACTAAAAGATTTATTCCGATTATACTTTCCATCCCCTCCTTACTACCACACTACTTTATACCAATCTCTTCGTTATTGTTCTCTTGTTTTACGCTTATTACCTGTTTTTTTCTATTTGAATTCTCATTGTTTTGTGTGGCGCATATATATTGGCACTCTCTTGTACCAATGTTTGTGTTCAAATAAATAAATTCTACACAAGATACTCATTGTCCGTTGGCCGGATACCATCGGCAACAGCCTACCGCGGGAGAGAACAAACCAGCATCCAACTAAAACGGGAACTAGGAAAAGACGCTGAGAATGGGTTGGACATACAAACTCAAGTCTGATATGCGGTCGATATCTACAGGAAAGGATTATGCGATGTCACGAAATCGGTTGTAATATGACAATCACTTTATTTGCGATTACTTTCCTACAAATTTCAAAACGCGTATCCTCACTCAATACCATACAACTCCTAATGCCTACGTCATCAAACACATTGTGTCCAAACAACTCGTCCTACAGCATGATTAAACCATGAATGACTTAGCTGAAATCTGTACAAGCTCGAATATCCATCGACCGTATCACACTGTTAAAACGCACTACCCAGTACGACACAACAGACCAACATCATTCGCAGCTCGCGAAAACAGAACTACGTTTAGAAATAAAATCAAACTAAAATTTATTTTTTAATTTTACTTTAACAGAAATCACATGCCTCCACGTAGGCGCAGAACAAGATGTAAGGTTGACTCTTTCTGGATGTTGTAGTCAGACAGAGTACGTCCATCTTCCAACTGCTTACCAGCGAATATCAAACGTTGTTGGTCAGGAGGAATACCTTCTTTGTCTTGAATCTTCGCCTTCACATTCTCAATAGTATCACTAGGCTCAACCTCCAACGTAATCGTCTTACCAGTCAACGTCTTCACAAAGATTTGCATTCCACCACGTAGACGAAGGACAAGATGCAGAGTCGACTCTTTCTGGATGTTGTAGTCAGACAGAGTACGTCCATCTTCCAACTGCTTACCAGCGAATATCAAACGTTGTTGGTCAGGAGGAATACCTTCTTTGTCTTGAATCTTCGCCTTCACATTCTCAATAGTATCACTAGGCTCAACCTCCAACGTGATCGTCTTACCAGTCAACGTCTTCACAAAGATTTGCATTCCACCACGTAGACGAAGGACGAGATGCAGAGTCGACTCTTTCTGGATGTTGTAGTCAGACAGAGTACGTCCATCTTCCAACTGCTTACCAGCGAATATCAAACGTTGTTGGTCAGGAGGAATACCTTCTTTGTCTTGAATCTTCGCCTTCACATTCTCAATAGTATCACTAGGCTCAACCTCCAACGTAATCGTCTTACCAGTCAACGTCTTCACAAAGATTTGCATTCCACCACGTAGACGAAGGACAAGATGCAGAGTCGACTCTTTCTGGATGTTGTAGTCAGACAGAGTACGTCCATCTTCCAACTGCTTACCAGCGAATATCAAACGTTGTTGGTCAGGAGGAATACCTTCTTTGTCTTGAATCTTCGTCTTCACATTCTCAATAGTATCACTAGGCTCAACCTCCAACGTAATTGTCTTACCAGTCAACGTCTTCACAAAGATTTGCATTCCACCACGTAGACGAAGGACAAGATGCAGAGTCGACTCTTTCTGGATGTTGTAGTCAGACAGAGTACGTCCATCTTCCAACTGCTTACCAGCGAATATCAAACGTTGTTGGTCAGGAGGAATACCTTCTTTGTCTTGAATCTTCGCCTTCACATTCTCAATAGTATCACTAGGCTCAACCTCCAACGTGATCGTCTTACCAGTCAACGTCTTCACAAAGATTTGCATTCCACCACGTAGACGAAGGACAAGATGCAGAGTCGACTCTTTCTGGATGTTGTAGTCAGACAGAGTACGTCCATCTTCCAACTGCTTACCAGCGAATATCAAACGTTGTTGGTCAGGAGGAATACCTTCTTTGTCTTGAATCTTCGCCTTCACATTCTCAATAGTATCACTAGGCTCAACCTCCAACGTAATCGTCTTACCAGTCAACGTCTTCACAAAGATTTGCATTCCACCACGTAGACGAAGGACAAGATGCAGAGTCGACTCTTTCTGGATGTTGTAGTCAGACAGAGTACGTCCATCTTCCAACTGCTTACCAGCGAATATCAAACGTTGTTGGTCAGGAGGAATACCTTCTTTGTCTTGAATCTTCGCCTTCACATTCTCAATAGTATCACTAGGCTCAACCTCCAACGTAATCGTCTTACCAGTCAACGTCTTCACAAAGATTTGCATTCCACCACGTAGACGAAGGACGAGATGCAGAGTCGACTCTTTCTGGATGTTGTAGTCAGACAGAGTACGTCCATCTTCCAACTGCTTACCAGCGAATATCAAACGTTGTTGGTCAGGAGGAATACCTTCTTTGTCTTGAATCTTCGCCTTCACATTCTCAATAGTATCACTAGGCTCAACCTCCAACGTAATCGTCTTACCAGTCAACGTCTTCACAAAGATTTGCATTCCACCACGTAGACGAAGGACAAGATGCAGAGTCGACTCTTTCTGGATGTTGTAGTCAGACAGAGTACGTCCATCTTCCAACTGCTTACCAGCGAATATCAAACGTTGTTGGTCAGGAGGAATACCTTCTTTGTCTTGAATCTTCGCCTTCACATTCTCAATAGTATCACTAGGCTCAACCTCCAACGTGATCGTCTTTCCTGTCAATGTCTTTACGAATATTTGCATTTTCCGAGTATTTTCGAATACAGTAATGAAGACTATGCAAACAGCTGACGAATTTATATACTAACTTCTGGAACTTCCGAATTAGATGGTTAAAACAAAGTTAGCTCTCAAGGGATTTAATAATCCATGCATCAGGAACTGGTGATATGAGAATAGGCACTTGCAGTCAGGCAGATTTAAAAATTAAATAACATGACCTCATCGGTAGGAGAGACGTGATCTCATCAGTGCAGTCATGTAACTCAATTATTTGCATCCTGACAGTCCTAGAGAAGAATCACTCTCATTTATAGATGAACCATGAAGTCCGACGATCATTAAGACGAAAATAGGTTTTGGAGCGCTGTCATCAGCCTTGGCACAGCAAATACGATGAAACGTTTCAAGTCGGTCAGAAATAAGTGTAGAAGTACAACCCAGGTAGTTCAGTAAAAATGTGGAAATAGGTTGGCACAATCTGAGAACAGGCAGCCAAAGAGACTGTTCTTGTACATAAATTACAGAATAAGGACGCACCATTGATTCCTCAACGCAATTACAGTATGGTGTGGGTCCCAGTCAATGGAGGAAGACCAGGACAATGCAGAGGTCGTAGTAGACAATTCCAGGACAGTTTTCACTCATGACCATCTTCTAGACAAAATATTAGCCCTAAATCTGAAGTGAGACAATCGGTTTCCTTTTGTGGAATCGTATATTGGTGTAAATGCTTGACTTTTCAAATGACGAAATCCAGAACTGTGTTCAGTACATTGGTTTCCCTTAGGTGGTTTGCTTTGTAAACATTTTACCATCTCTTTACTGTTTTAACAAACTAATGAAGCCCATCGGATAAGTTTTCCCACCGAGTCATATTTCATTTGATTAATAAACCATTTAACATCTAGTCATCTTAGTTACCCATGGTGTTGGTGGTGAGCACAACATGTTCAAACATAACAGGATGTACTCTATGTTCTTGCTCCTTGAATCATGTTCTATACGTATTTTTTTAAAGCATATTCTAACTCTCGAATTCAGACGGAAGTCGAACTTAGAGACTGACGTTGAAACTGAGTTTATTTTCCAGAGAACTTACCGGCTGAAGATTTACGTCATTTCTCTGATGATGCTTTAGACAGTGTCCATTCTTACTTACGCCTGTTACTTCTGTGGAGGAGCACAGGCCGCCCACCAGGGCTATCCATCTAACCCAAACCTGGAAAATCCTTCCTACGTATTTCCAGTCGTCACTCATTCTTTTCATATTTGTTTCTATTTTGTGACGTGATATGTTCTCTAGTTTCCATTCTTGACTGGTTAATAATTCAGCCCCGTCAAATGCGCGGTACTGTGACTAGTTGACAAAATGCGGATGTGGTGCTCTAATAAAAACAGTCAAGTTATCGACCCGTATTTCTTGTTGCTTCCTGACAGTTTTAGTGCTTGCCTTGTGTCTACGTTTTTATCACGTATCAATATATTACTAATCTCATAGCTTCTAAGGACACTGAAGTATGTTCTATTTAAAACGCCTGTTTTAATACTTTTCTTTCTTACTTAATTGCGTACGCCTGTTGCCCCCCAATCGAGTATAGACTGCCGATCAGCATTCTCCAACTTATTCTGTCCTGGGTCTTCCTTCCTAGTCTTATTCAGTTTTTGCTCATTCCTCTCATGTCTGTCTCCGTTTCTCGGAGTAGTGTGTTCTTTGGTCATCATTTTCTTTTTTGGCATTGAGGAGTCCAAGTGAGCGCTCGCCTTGTGATTCAGTTGAGTGCTTCCCTCAATGTGTGTCCTGTCCAATTCTAGCACTTCTTTCTCATTTCTTCCTCCTCTGGGGTCTGGTTTGTTCTCTCCCAAAGTAGGTTGTTGCTGATAGTGTCTGACCAACGGATTCGAAGTATTTTGCGTCGATAACTTTTAACAAAAACTTGTATCTTCTAGATGATGACTTTCGTAGTTCTCCAAGTTTACGCCACATACAGTAGAACTGTTTTGACATTTGTATTGAAAATTCTGGCGTTGGTGTTGGCTTGTGGACAGTTGTTTTGAGTTCCAGATGTCCTTCAGTTGTACATATAGTGCTCTTGCTTTGCCTATCAGCGCCTTCACATCTGCATCAGATCTACCATTTTCATCAATGATGCTCCTCAGATATGTAGAGGCTTTTACATCTTCCAAATCTTCTACGTCCAGCGTGATTCGATTGTTGCATGCTGTGTTGTATCGGGGAGTCTTGATTTTCCCTTTGTGTTTATTGAGACCTACTGTTGCTGGGGCTGCTGCTACACTGGTCGTCTCCTATATTTGTTGTTGCGTGTGCGATAGAAGATCCAGATCATCTGCGAAGTTTAGACCGTCCAGCTGCTGCCCGCTTTATACCATGCTTCTCACCAGATGTTGGCCTCTTCATAACACAGGCGATCACCAGGAGAAAGAGAAAGGGTGAGAGTAACCTTGCCTGACGTCGGTCTTTACCATCATAGGAATTCCGTATGGGATTGAGTATCTTTTCAGGCATTCCATAGTGTCAGAGAAGCCTCCATAGTGTTGTTCTGTCCACACTATCAAATTCTTTCTCGTAGTCAATAAAGTTGATGTAAAGTGATGAATTTCATTCAATTGATTGTTCCACAATGATCCGTAGAGTTGCGAATTGGTCTGTACACGATAGATCCTTACGGAATTCAGCCTGTTAGTCTCAAAGTTTGGCATCTACTGAGTACTTCATTCTGTTTAACAATACCCTGTTGAAGACTTTTCCCGATATTGAGAGAAGAGTGATACTCCTGTAGCTCTCACACTTGCTGAGATAGTTAGGTATAAATTCACGTAATTTTGAGAGTATATATAAGCCCTGACCATATATCCATCTGAAACATCCGAGGCATTAATGATGGCGCAGGATAAAGTCACTCGTTCCATATGCGTTATCGGTGGCATGTCTGAAAAAGAGGGTAAAAAAGAAAGGTCAAAAATCAAAGCAGATAATGTTCATGCATATTGTGGTGAAATAGTGAAAGTATGACTACTTAGTTTAATTTTTTATTATTAAGATTCTTTTTAAGCAAGAGCATTCTGGTAGGTTGAATAAAACAAGCGTAAATACGGTATGAATGGACAAAGAAATGTATAAATGGACGTGATCCACTAAGAAGCTGAAAGTATAGGATCATGTGAAGTTTTAAAATATAGTACTGAAAAACTGGCTACCTCGCTTTTTTGTCGCAGCTATTTCTGCTCATTTTTACTTTTATCGATTCGATAGGGTCATGAGCAGGCTTCGCATTTAGCAAATTGTCTAGGATTACTCGATAGGAAGTGAAACCAAACAAACATGATTTAAAGGGGCAGTTTGTATAATAATTTAGCATCAATACCATTTGTTCATGAAATTCCACCAGACCGTAAGAAGCATTAATTTAACAAAATGTTCTGCCCTATAGACATGGGTGGATAGCAGTTATCTGCCCACCATCATGTTTGCTGGTCAGTAACGCCAACCTCCCTCCTTTTGTAATGTTAGGCTCTCTTACGTTTGTGGTGTGTATGAATATTGCTTTAATCTAAGCCCCTTTCTGGAATACACTGTCTCTACTAGTTCTATGTTACAAGCAAATCAGATCAGATGGTTAAAGCTTCTATATTTTGAGTTAGATATCCATTAAGTATATCACACCGCTATGAAGATAAAAATTAGAAAACACATATCAAATTATATGTGGTTTATAGATGGCAAGGATATATAGCAAGTCAAAGGATATGCAAGAGTTGAGGATTGTAAATTTTTCGGAGTAAGAAAACAAAACATTGGACGACTCATAGGAATTTAGGACACATGTAATGTGAGATGATATTGATGAGTTTCTATGTGTGATAATGATGTGAAATGTGAATAGAACCAGACGTGATAGTTCAGATAGATGGTCCAAGTTCGGTGAGTAGTAAGGCCTTCATCTTATTGGGGGGGGGCAGTAGGATTTAGCAATATATAGAAAGCTTTAGCTACCAGTCTTTCTTTGCAGTTGAAAAAGCCTTCTTGAATTTTCACGGTATTTTTAATATAGAACGGATGGTTTTTGAAGAGGGCATGCTATTTGGAGTCTTTCAACTTCTTCCGGATTATTAGGTGACTTTTTGTTCATGTCAGACGTTTTTTGGCTCAACTCAGGATTTATCGAAAATATAACGCATCACAATTAAAAACCCCATTATCGATAGATACAATTATTTGTTGGTATAAAGATAATCTCATGTTTCACATGAACTAAAGCATTTCGAAAGGTGTTAGTTCTTCAGAAGCCTCCTTCGAGTCTTTATTGCTTTAAGATCTTTCGAAGCCTTTCTGTCATACCATGGTGGTATCGGGAAACCACGGTACCAATACATGATACTTCATCCAAACTTCTACATAAATCATTTCGCCTTAGTGTGTGTCGGTTTGTGATAGATAGTTAGGTTTAGAGTTAAGCATATATTTCTTTTAATTAAGCGAACATAAAATGGACGGGTAACCGTGTCCATCTTCATTCTTGTAAGTTAATTTCATGTGTGATGAGAGTGCGCTTATCAATTAAAAAGTTCTAAAGGACTTTCTTCTCATGATAGAGCATCATCCATATTTTTAAGTAACATTCACAGTTCAATGAAATTAGCTTATGTTCTAGGTCAAAATGTGTCGGTTTTGTGACAAAGCGCATAACGTAGATTGCTATCAAATCACAAACTCGGAGTTGCAGACTCCAACCACCTGATGTATGGTACAGTGAGGTCTTAAATGACGGTACAGCAATTATCCCTATTTCAAATGGAGTTATGAATCACATCAAAGTTGTCAGCAAGACAACCTAGAATATGATATATTCCTCCCGCATTCACTGAATCATGTGTAAACGTCATTACAAAACTACTTATACTACATCTATCATTTGCGTGCCTCCTCCCATGATGTGCATGAATGCACGCGAAATTGACATGAAATCTGACGCTTGACGGACATTTGCTGGGGTAGTTTGTCAGCAAAAATCTTTTTTGGGATACCTTTGGTTGTTTTGCCTCCAAAGATATTGCGACTTTAAATATATTACACTAACAAACCATTTTTTGTTGTAATCGATACCTCACTCGCAAACTACCTGAAATTTGGAAGTTGGCTCACATCACACCAATTTTCAAAGGAGGTTGACGCAGCGAACCTTGAGCTACTGATCGGTGGCTCTTCTCTCTATACCTTCAAAAATTATGGAGTCCGTGATATGCGACGGTATACATGACTATTTATCATCCTTAAACTTATTTTCACCCCAAGAGTATGGTTTCGGGAAGTGTCATTCTTGTATAACCAACCTGATGACTGCGGTGGACAGATGGACAACCATCCTTGATCGCAATCTTAAGAGTGACGTCATTTATTTTGACTTCTCAAAAGCTTTTGATAGGGTCAACCACATATGTCTTATCAACAAGCTCAGGCGATTGGGTATCAGACCACCTCTAATTGATTGGCTCACTTCATGTCTAAAAAATCGACATTTTAAGGTCAGGGTTAACTTCACTCTCTCTCAGGCTATGGGATGTACAAGTGGGGTCCTCCAGGGACCAATACTAGGACCTCTTCTTTTCTTGATCTATGTAAACGGTCTTCCACAATAAATATTGTCTTACTTATCACTTTTTGCTGATGATGTGAAACTTTGGAGAGTGGTACGCAACCAAGAGGATATACTGGCACATGAGAAGAGCTGACTGGACCTCAAAGTTGGGCATATCAAAATGAACATACCTTTAACACTTGTAAAGTATTCCTTCTGAGACATGTTGCAGACTACAGTTATAACTTAGGAAACTCCTCTCTAGAAGCATCCCAAGCTGAAAACGATTTAGGAGTCCTGGTACCCTTCGATTTGAAGTCTTACGCTAACTGTCGCAAAAGTGCCTTTCGAGCATACCTTGCACTGGTAACATTGAAGCGCATTTTTAGCCAATTTGACGAAAGAACTTTTCACATAATCTTCAACAGTTTTATTTGTCCCCATTTAGAGTGCGGAGACATAGTATTTTCTTCTTCACTCCAAAAGGATATGGGCACTCTGGAGCATATCCAACGGTGAGCCAAGAAATCAGTTAGAGGACTCGAATTCAAACCTTATGAAGAGCGCCTCAAGTAACTAAACATTTACCGATTAGAGTACAGGCAGCTCAGAAGCGACGGTCTAATGGCTCGCAGTATCCTTAACGCTTCTGGACATTCCCTTAAACATTAATTTAAGTTTAGCTCCAACACAAACCTAAGGCGTAACACCCAGTCATCGGAGACAAAATACAGCTAAACGGAATGCAGACACACCTTCTATTCCTTGAAAGTTGTCAAATGCTGGGATTCGCTGCTGGCTGAGCTAGTCCAAGCGAATTCCAAGGAGTCCTTTGAGAGGAAACTTGACCTATTTGCACTCAAGCAGCCCAATAAAATATTCTCGTACATAAACTACAGAACAAGGATGCATCACTGGATTCCCAATCTAATTAAGGAAGGAAGTGAATCTGAAATGATAGAGGAAGATCAGGAAAACGCAGAGGCTATGTCTGACTATTTTGGGACAGTTTTCACTCGGGAACCTCCTCTAGAGAAAGAATCAGACCAAAATAAACAGTCAACAAACCACCAGCTCACCGTGGACTTCGATCAAGACGATGTGCTTTAGGCTCTTAGCACTTTAAACATGGAAAAGTCAACAGGACCAGATGAACTACACCCCAAAATCTTGTGACATCGCACAACACATCGCGGCCCCACTGACTGATATTCAACATGACACCTGATCATAGAGTGCTACCAATGGACCGGAAGGACGCGATCGTCACTCCCATACACAAAACAGGTCCGCGACAAGTTCCATCGAATTACAGACCTGTAAGCCTTACCAGTGTTGTGGTTAAAGTAATGCAAATAACAGTCAAACGGACCATAATGGGATTTATGGAAACCAATAACTTGCTGAACATGAAACAACATGGTTTTAGAAAGGGTCTATCTTGTACAATGAACCTCCTTATAGCAAGGGAGTTCTGGATAAACGCGCTAGACAACGAAAACTCGGTGGATGTTGTCTACATAGATTTCAGTAAGGCTTTTGACAAGGTGCCAACTAATAGATTGCTATTGAAGTTGAAAAACCTTGGTATTGCCAGACCTTTTTAAAAATGGATTAAGGATTTCCTAGTAGGTCGTAGACAGAAAGTAAGAACAAATTCCAAGTGCTCCATCTGGAGACCAGTACTTAGTGGAGTACCCCAAGGTTCCGTCCTAGGTCCTTTACTTTTTATAATGTACGTTAATGATCTTACAAGTATAGTACAGTCTCCAATGTTATTATACGCTGACGATGTAAAAATTTGGCGAGTAATAACTGGAGACAAAGACGCATTTACTCTTCAGGCGGATTTAAATAATATGACAAACTGGTCTAAAGAATAGCTGAAGCCTAACGACGCGGAAAAGTGTGTCTACGTGCACTTGGGAGATTCAAAGGTTAATAGTTACATTACCCGTAATCCGGTCTCATAAGGATCTAGGGGTGACAGCGAGTAATGATCTTAAGACGACGGCCCATTGCCGGGAGGTCGCAGCCAAGGGGTTTCGAACCCTCTGGGCTTTAAAACGGACATTCACTAAGTTAGATACTACCAAGTTCACCACAGTATACACATCATTAGTGAGGACTAAGCTAGTGAACTGCGTTCAAGCTGCAAGTCCCTGTCTGCAAGGTGACTCAGATATCCTTGAAAAAGTACAGAGGGCAGCTACCCGAGCAATTTCAGAACTCCAGGGTTTATCATACAAAGAGCGGCTTGAAAATCTGGACCTCTTTACTCTGTCCTATCGCAGAGTGAGGGGAAATCTAATTATGATGTACAGAATAGTGAGAAATGATTTCGGACCTAACTTATTCTCTCTTTTTCTTCCCACTAGATCGGGACATCTCAGAGGACATAGCAGGCGAGTAGAAAAGCCAAGAACGAACAAAATACCCGTGGCATACAGGTTTTTACACCGAATCATCAATACTTGGAACCTGCTGCCCGAAGCAGTGGTGTCCGTACCTTCAATTGACTGTTTCTAAAGAAGACTGGACACTCACAGAAGCATACTAGAAAAGGAATGACATAGGCCGTAGGCCTTCTGTCCTTACTACACAAATCTGAATCTGTTGTTAAGGAATAAGGAGTTATCAATATCTTTTTCCTCTGTTATTGCTGATATATCTAGGTTCCTGCCTGAAGATATTGGTGATCCACTGCTACTAGGTACGGAACTACGTTAAGCGAAAGCTTCTGTATTCCGCCCACAACCATTTGAAACATTTGAAATACCACCTTGACCTTGTAAACAAACGCATCTTTTGAGTCTCAGCGCGTGGTTGGCCAATGCTGAAATTCGGCATCGCTAATTCTACTGATGACTTTGAAATAGTAACAAAAGTCCCAAAGCTTTCGGTAGGTACAGTTGTTTTACATATTTCGGCAGCGTAAAAGACCTAAAACTGTGATTAAAAGTGCAAAGACCGGGAAGAAAAAATGCACAAAAAAGGCTAAGGAAGAAGATCAAGTTTTGAAACCTGCGTGGACGGATGACGATGATATTACTCCACAAATATCAATTCGGTGTGTTTGGTTCTGTTAACTTATTTTATAGGCCTCCACGAGCCTTAGACGTGTTTGCAAAAATAGATCAGCTTAAAAACATGAAATCAGTTGGCTCAGATGATGAAGGGAATTGCATTTACTCTCGGAAATCTGCTGCATGTGATGAGAAAAGCTCTAAAATACTCTCTTACGGAAAAGAAATAGGCGTTAAGAGACTTAGTGATGTCAATCGTGAGAGAAGGTCAATGGCTTCAATCGTATCAACTGAGTTCAATACACACCACCGTATGCTTTTAACTGCAAGCGTAGATAGTACTATGGCTTTTTTCAAGGTGATATTAATTTACTATAGGTGTTCTATAACCTTTGAAACCGCATCCAACTGTTTTGTTTTAAATGTATTAATGTTTATCAACTGACTCAGTGTTCATGCATACTTAAATTGTTAAGTCATCAGCTGATATAAGATAGGAAGTTAATTGTTAGTTACAGCGGGGTTTATCCTGACTTTCTTTGGCAGGTTTTACCCAAGTCTTGGTGACTATCGTGCTAATATCGATACGTAACTTGTGCAGCTTCACTGGATTGTTTTTACTGAGGATATTTTTATGTTAGTCCGATTATTTAAGGTTTGAATAATTTTTTTCTGGTTAGCGTTTTTTAGCGAGTTAGCCTTCTACGGGATGGGGTCGCTAACCCCATGCCCATCCCTCCTTCTTTATCCGGGCTTGGGACCGGCAGTAGCCCTCGGAGTGACTCCAGGCAGATTTTACGTAATACGTTGAGAACTTCATTTTTCAATGAAACGGTGAATTACTGGTTTTCAAACCTAAACCATCTACTCTAGTCCAAACAGCTGGTTGATATGATTAAGCCTCAGAAAAAGCAGTGACTCATTCTGGTTTGAAATCTGTATTTCGGGTTATAAGGTAATGATCACTTTTCATGTTTTAACTCCTTGGATGTTACCAAGTTGAAGTCATTCAAGTTCAGTTATCGATAGTAGACTCATTCTTTGTAACACCTTATTGACCTTTTGAATACTTTACCAATGTTGAAAGTTTTGTTTAAGTCCTATTCAAAGTATAGAGTATCATCATATGACTGAAAAATATACATAGGATGAACCAAATTGTCTATTTCGTGCTGAAATTATAAGAATGGGTTTTGTGGAGATTTTAGAAATTTCTGATAATAATAATCAACTGCTCACTAGTGACTGACTTCAAGAAAAACTCCCGAAGTTCTAGTGAGAAGCCGTTACCAGTGGAGTTCAACTAGGTCTGTTGTGAGATAGGAACTCACTGAAGACAATGGTGTACGGTGGCGCAACTTCGTGGATTGGTTGAAGTTAGACATTAACACCGTTGGATGCCGGCTCAGTGGTCTAATGGTTAAGTGCTCGCGCGCGAAACCAGTAGGTCCTGGGTTCGAGCTCCGTGTGGTGCGGGGTCGTGGATGCGCACTGCTGAGGAGTCCCATACCAGGACGAAACGGCCGTCCAGTGCTTCCAGGTTTTCAATGGTGGTCTAGCTTCAATTGACTCATGATTTCAATCTGTGAAATTATAAGTGTAAATTGGGATTGCTTTTGAGGTTAAACATCACTTCTAATTTTCGTATGTGTATAGTTTGTTTTACAGAAACAAACTTAACCTCTGTTGAAATAATAAGCATATATCACAGTTCCAAAAGTTAGATTCATTTTCTTTTGACTCGTTTGCCAAACCAATTACTGTGTATTTGATATGTCGCTAGTGAAAGTAAATGTAACTCACCAACGAGCGTGAACTGATAGACATTCAGGTCACTGTCTGTTAATTATGCGATTTGGTTGCTACAGATTTCTGCTTTGAATTCACTGAATATAGACCACCTATAATTGTGTTGAATAAAGCACTTTCTAGTCTATACTGGTTCCCTGTTTCGGTTTGGGCACCCGGGCAGTACCACAACCCTCACACATATCAAATGAGATCTGTGTGACGCATATCTATTTGTGGCCTCATTGTACCAATATTTATGTGGTAAAATAAATAAATACTGGTTCCCTATTATTGGTTGTGAACCGCATATCTGGCGTAACGTGACTCGTCTGTGTATAGTATAGCGACCGAGTACAATCTCAATCACCGGTCCCATTATCGTAACAAAAAATAATTTTTCCCTCCGTTGCATCATTCATTATCAAATGGATTAATAGACTTATTACATAAGTCCACACTCTTCTAGAGAATCTGCAGAGATTATCTGTGCAGCTCTCGTAGAAATATTTGGGAGACATGTCATAGAGTAACATCTTATCGTTTCGGAGATTCGAGTAGACCAATGTGTGATTGATGGAGATTCAGGCACTCACTTGGTTTCATAGTCACTGTATACCTGGGAATATTTAATCGAAAAGGAACATCGACATCGGTTTTGTGGCAAACATCATCAAGACAATCATTTCAAAACGTTTCGATTTCGTTGTAAGAATCTACATTTTATTCTTTTAGTTTCACAGCCTACTCATGTGTAGGTGGATATACATTTTTAGAGTAGTTTTGAGACGCTTTTCTTAATCCGAGGTAAGCTTTTTCAGCTCGTCAGATTCAAAGTCTGCGTCCTTATCTTTTCATGCCTTTGGAACTTCGCATTGATTATCGAGTTCCAGTTTTGAATACTGCGAATATTTATGATAAATCTTGCAAGTTATTTTCAGTAATTTTGTCGGTTACATTATCAGTGTTGCTGTACCTTATGGTGGTCTTGTTTGATTATGGTTTAACTACACATTAGGGCTAGGGGATATCTCGTACTTCCAAATTCTAAGTGGTTGCTCTCACCTTGACCTAATGGTTAAAGCAGTATATCGTATTCATCGATTACTGAAATTACATAATCCTATGAAGTTTAATTATCATTTATATTATGTCCTGTTGAAATATAGGTTGATGGCTCGGAAAATGCACTACTGCGTGATCGTGTGTATGAAAACTTTTCTCTTTCCTCAGCTAAGTTTACAGCTTACGGTGATAAAGTTATTTTTACCGGGAATGTTGGCTCGTTTCGTGTAAGTAGGTTTTAATCCTAACTGTTTTAATTTTTCTTGATTTTCTGGTCACAGTAAATTTTATTAGTATTGATTTGTAATTATGAACAGTTATTAGATTTATAGTGTCTATGTTCTCCAACTTCCTCATAAAGATTTACTGAGACAAATACTTCTAACCTGTTATTATTAGGTTACTTATACTAAGTAGAACGTTGATTTCACTTCCAGCTGTTTATCGGTACAAATGGGAATTAAAATGAATATGTGCTACACAAATATGGGAATGAGATAGTGAAAGAATAGAGGAAGAAAGGAGATTATAGTCTAGTAAATAGATGAATGGAAATATGTTGTCGGGAATAAATTATGATGGAAAAAACAAATTAGTTGAAAAAATGGAACTAGGAAGAGTTCTTTTAGTTAAAGACATTTCTTTCACTTCTACGGAACATGCAAATGAAGATTATGGCAGGACTACCATTGCCATCTTTTTTGAGCCATGTCTAATAATGTCTCAAGTCACTAATTTGCACCATCTGTCTGACCCAACCAGGGAGTCATGATGGACCGACTTATGACAATCGTTTATTTTTAGCAAACACAAATTTTAAGCATTAGTAGAGACATCGTCTGACATGGCGACCTTCTACACCAAACCAACAATGGACTCAAATAGACCATATTGCCATCAGCCATCGTTGGAGAGGGTCAGTAGAGGATTGTCGCTCATTCTGGAGTACCTGCCTGGACTCCGACCATGCCCTAATATGGGCACACATCTACTTGCGCCTCACTGGACGCAAAAACGCCACATTAAAAAGACCCATTAGAACCGAGTTGAGTAACGAGAAAACCAAATGTAGGTTCCAGGAACAACTGAGGTCACACTTAGGTAGTTCTAAAAACGAGGCTGACCCAGATGTTGCTTGGAAAGATATACAAACAGCTGTGGGAACAGCAATGAAATCTATTAGTGACTTAAACCACAGAGTTACAAAGAACCAGTGGATTTCTTCAAATTCTATCACACTGATGGATTCTCGCAAACTCGTCCCATCAGGTTCCGAACATGATGAAGAGCGACAACAAATCAGATCTAGGTTAAGAAAAAGTCCAAGAAACGACCGTGAGTAGTGGTGGGTAACGAAAGCAAAAGAGATGGAAAAGGCGGCGACTATATGGAACACAAGACAGCTTTACAGACTAATAAAAGAAACTGGAACTAATAAGTCAAGTGTAAGTGAGATTATTTCGGAAAAAGACGATACTCTCATCTGCTCTCAATCCAGACGTTTAGAACGATGGGCGGAACATTTTAGAGAACAGTTCATCTGGCCTCCAGCTACTCTACAACTACCCTCCATTCCCAGACTGATGACAGTCCTACACAACTTTCTTTGATAGTCAGTCAGTCAGGTACAACGGAGGACCAGGTGCATATATGCATCGGTCCAAGTAGCCATACCTCATTAACACAACAAGATGGACACCGGATTCATAATAGTAGTTAGTTCAGAGGTGGTAATATATAAAAGAAAGATTGCATATAAGGATATAGTACAGGATACCTCAACCCCATCTCATAAATTGGGTACCATTGTACTTTTTTCCAACCGGTTTCAGCGTTGGCAAATAAAGCATGATGTGAGAGTCACTGTTATTATATTCATAAGAAATGTCCAAGTCGGTGTTCGAAGATGGTGACACGAAGTGATTTATGGTCACTGTACCTGAACATGCGTTGGTGAACCTGAGCTTTAATGATACGATGTTTGCGGTAAATGTCAGCGATGCTTCGGAGACAAGGATAATGAAGAATCGAGTGTCGTCTAACATTATGAACTTGTATAGTCTATGTTTGAAAAGTGTAGAGGAAATACTGATCTCACTTTTGTGTTGTAATCTGAATGTTTTACAACCAGGTTAACATGATAAGGGCGCCTCGATTCATCGATTTTTCGACCACTTTTAGCGGTTTACCATAAAGAGCGAGTGCAGTTAGGGCCTCGTTCCGGTGCTGGAAGATTATTTTGCATTTGGACGGTAAATAGAACATAAAAAACCTACTGACATTAATTGTCAAGTGATTAAGTGTGGATTGCATAGCTTGAGTGTCATCCTATGGTAAGACAATATGATTGGGGTATTAAATATTTACACTTCTTTCTCCACCACTACTTTTTCCAAAGTGTCATCGGTGGGAAATTTGAAGTAGAATAGTAAGATTAAGAAAATGTCTAACCCCACTGCTGGGATTGAACAATGGGGAGACGTGGTTGCATGTTCTCGCTCTACCCGAGTTGCTTGTACATAGATGCCTTAATATGTTAATAAACTCCCTAGATACCCTCCTTAAATGGATAATCCCATAATACTGTATTGTGTGGCGCATATGTATTTGGTGTCCCCTTGTACCAATATTTATGTGTTCAGATAAATAAATAAAATACAGTCCTGCTCAACAAGTTGAATAATAACAATTGTTTGCCTGAGATAAATATGACGATGTTTCAATATTTATCAGTGTGAAGACTGGGTCAATACATTCACGACCGAAAATATAAATTAACCCGCTTGTAACGAATCAGCCTTTTAGTGGCTTTAAACAGTTTGCAAATTGTGATGGAAGTCAATCATTTGGACACAATCGGAAGTACTATTTTATTGTGGAGTAGTTAAGTTAGGTGTTATCAATGCACATGTTTCACTGGCAATATAATAAACCACTCTTTTTGGTGAATTTTTCTAAAACTTTACAGCATTATTTAATACGTATGCCTTCCTTTTGTTATACCCGACCTGTGGCATACTACTGATTGTTGTTATCTATTTGTATGATGTGTGATACCTTATCGTATACACTCGTTCTATGGTGCCAGTGTTTTTAGTAAAACACTACACAGTTTTTTTTATCAAGCTGGTGTTCGACCGAATTAGACTTTAAAAATTCTACTTACTGTATTGTTTGTTTCTTGTTCTTTTTTTCGAAATAAGTTTTTTGTTTGTTATTTATGTGTCTTATAGATTTATAATTTAGAAACTGGAAATGAAAGTCGTGCAAGACGATTTATTGGTTCATCAACAGACGAAACAATCACTAAATGTTTTATTTCACCAGTTCATCCAAATTTGGTAGCCCTGGGAACCAATGGAAGTGCTGTGTATCTGGCCGATTTACGAGTTAGTTTAAACTACTTATTTCAAAATAGTTATCTTGTCTTTAAAGAGAGTAAATCATTATTTATGCTAACTGAATGTGACATTAATAAGTTGGTTATCTAGTAATTCTATTGAGTTCTCCTAAGATAGGGAATGATTTACTTTTCTATGTAAAAAAAACGAGTTGGTTGTCTAAGCAAAGCTGTGGGTTGGTGTTCGTAACATTCAACTAGTAGATCATAGTCTCAAATCCTGCTCCACGTACTTCGATTTTGGCAGCCGGATAATATCACTAGCCATCATAAAAACAATGTGATTCATAGCCGAGGAGATAAAATCTGTACTTGATAAATTAGTTACATTATTAATTTGATTCTGTTCATATGCACGTATTTAAACTACTGATATATTAGTTAAACAAATCATAATTTTCTTGTTTCTTATTAATTATTAGTTCGATTAGTATATGTGTATACATAGATATATAAATATTATGCCACCTACCCCTGTGGTATATTTTTAAAATCTTCAGTAAATAGTGTTGACAATATAGGTTGCCTGTAAGTTGTTTTTGATTTTTTTCTTTGGAAACATCAGTGCATGATATATTACAAATTTCTTTATTCACTCATCTAAATATGACTATCAACTTGGTTTAAAAACTAACACTTATTAATTAAAAGAACTAACAATCATCAATTTTCATCTTCTTTTGGCACATATTGTTGTTTACCACTCACTACTATCCGTAAGACGCTTTCATATGAAGAAAAGCTGTCAGTGTGGTTAATTTTACTTCCAGGATGAAGCAGTGTTATTTCAGATAACATCGATAATAAAGTTTGTACCATTTAATGAGTATTTGAAGATCCAAGCTCAACCTGTCTAGTATGACACTGATTATCTCTTGTGTATCATCAGTTCACTTGTGTATGTACCTCATATTCTTGTCCACACGAGTTGATCTTGTCTCCTCTACAAGGGTCTGAAAATAACGATGATTACATTTAAAGTACAATGAAATACAGTTCTTTCATAAGTTAGAAAATGATGAATCATCCTAAAATGAATGAGTTTGTCTTATTTCTCGCCGTTGTTTTTACAGAGTTTAGAAAAAATTTCAGTTATGAGAGCAAGTGGTATAACCAATTCAATTTGTTTCACTCAAGATGGAACATTTTTGAATACTTATGGGGGTAAGTTTCAAAACAAAGCTTTACATTGAATAGTTTGTTTAGTTTTATTTGCACATTCCTTTGAGTAATGAAGGAGAAAATATGATGCGTGTTTTTGTATATTGATTATTTAACATCAAATTGTTTCGCATAATTTGCAATGTAAATGGTTCAACTCATATACACTAGAATGCAGGTATTCGGTTGGAAAACTACCGTACTCATATGTAACTCCATTCTTCGATCTCATCCTTTTGAACTGTTTCCCATCTGCAGACTTTTATTGTTTTCGAAATTACTCACTGTCTCATATTTTTCTTGTTGTTCATTTCCTCTATGTGTGTTGATGTAAAACGTGTCATACCTTACATTGATGACTGTCTGGTTGGAACGTATGTGCAACTGATATCAGTACAATCCAGTTAGTCAAAATTGGTTGAATGAGTTTAAACCAGCGGGAAAGTTGAACAAAAATTGGGTTAACGTTTCCACGAATTTTTATCCATACTTGTAGCATGATTTATGTTCGGCCATCTTTTCTGATCGCGTCACTATTATGAAAATGTAGCAAAGATACTGAACAGACAGATAAAAGTAATTATCATTAGACTTGGTACAAATATGCATCTGTTCGCGTTGTCAAAGTTCATATCGCCAAAAGAATAAATTGACAGAATAGGAAATAAAATAATGGTAGTGGTCAACTAAATAAATGCAAATGATAAAAAACTCACAAAATCATAAAATGTAAAATATTGTCATACTCAGTACTTTGAGAAAGTTAAAAAAATGAATGGATGGTTTTCGATAAGGATAGTCTTGAACTATATCACCTAAGTTCACTGACCATGGATTACGGTTATTCTACAAATCCTAAACGGGAAGTTTGAGCCTCAACTGATTAAGAGAGTATCATAATAAGGGCTCTCTCAAATCGGTGCTTCATTTTAATAATAATGTATTGTGTCCTACTTACCTTTTATAATTCATATAATCAATGATAACTGTTTACTATCTCGTTTTAAATTTACAATTTACTTCTGTTAGTTTTAATAGTTTTCTCATCTGGTTAATTTTAGCTGAAGGTTCTATCTATGTATTTGATCTACGAGTTAATAAAGCTAGAATTATTCATCGTTGGTTTGATCAAGCCAGTACAAGTGGTTTATCTATCTCTTCTTCACCTAATTCACAATGGATTGCTTGTGGGTAAGATAACTGATCTTAACTAATCGTCTACAAATGATCAAAATTATATGAAAATTGGTAATCGTTAGCAAATGCTTTACTAATAGTCGAGTTATATCTTTACTTTATAAATTCAGATAAACAACACTGTTTGTGCGAATTTAATTTAATACATATTAAATATTTATATATTGTTAAGTGTTTTGTTAAGACATTACTGTTGTTAGTTAATGAGCCATAGATGCCACCATAACTACATGTTACATTTTACTGATAACTAATTCACGTCATCTATCTATAATTATGTTACTCAGTCTCTGTCCAATTAGTTAAATAGGTTGACTATACTGTGAATCTATCTTAACTGAGATGGTTGAAATGTTGATAACAGATATCTGACCACTGTCTATTTTGATGTTCCGTACTAAGTAGTTTACGAGGGGTGGGGTAAGTTGGAAAAAAGATCGGAAGCAATGAGATTATTATAGAACACCAATCTACGAATTCATTAACTATTAACTTTTCTGTTTTTGAGATTCAAATATGTGTTAATTGTTGTCACTAAAATAACTGTAATCAATGGTTGGACGACTAGAAGTATCTCGGCATCAGTCAAAGTGGTCTAGATACATTTATTTTTTATTATCATTTAGTTCTTAAACATAGTACTACTTTTTATACATATTCAGTAATATAACGTTTCTATACTCTGTTTGTGTAGTATTTTGATGAAGTTGCAAAGTGGATTTTAATCCGCATATATATACTCTCTTAGAAATACTTTTCACCTTAAATAATTTCATGTTATAAGCGCATAAGTCACTCATTGATTCTACTTTTTTTCGTCAGTACAGATGATATTGTCAGAACACCTTGTTTGTTGACTTTAAACAGTGAACTAACTGTTGTGTAAAACTAAATTCTATTGTATAGAGTTTCTTCATCTTTAACCTAAAGAATAAATATTACTCAATACGCACTACCATCTCCTGAATATTGAATAGCAAATTATAAGAACTTGAGTCAACACAGTGACTTCATGATACGATCTTTAAAATCTATTTGTTATTTATTATTATTATTATTATTATTATTATCATTATTATTATAATAGTGAACAACCGACTGTTATTCACTAGACAGGACCACTTGATTCCTAACCATTAATCAGCAACTCACTAATTAGACTATTATTGTTGATTATTACAGGTTAAAAATAAATATGTGTACTTAAATAATCATAATTTTCTGTATTGCAGTTATTCTGGTCTAGTTAATTCTTAAGTAGTCCAAATTTTCGCCTAGCTATCGAAACTAAGTTTAGACATGGTGATTTAAAAATATCTAGGTATTGGGTAACAAAAATACACATATAACATATAGTTAAGGATCTATTTGATTTAATAGTTAAAATAACAAACCAGAAATTTGACAAAGGTGGAATTATAATGAGCAATGATTTGATCTCACTTTATACTAGAACTCCTATTGTCAAAAGTCTTAATATCATTTTTAACTTAATAAAATCAGACATTCTATCAAAAATATGTACACTAAACACCAGCTAGATAACCAAGGCCATAAAATCTTTCTTCGAAACGAATTACTGTATATTTAGAGGGAGCTTATATCAACAAACAACTAGAGTAGCGATGCTGTCACCTGCATCATCTTTAGTTGCAAATCTATTCATAAATAATACATGCAGGTGTACATTCGGTGTATTTTTAAACATACTTAAACTAGAAATATACCTGAAAACACGTTGATACTTTCGTGGTATTATACACCACTTGTTTTTGGGGAAACTGAACAATGAATCGCCCAGTTTTAAGTTTACCTCAGATTTAGAATCAGATAGCACTGAATCGCTTAGTTAAATGTAAAGAAAATGGATATTTTAGTATGACTGTTCAGTAAGAAAATAAACTTTGGCGAATATCTTGATTTTTAACCGTTACACTACACCAGTTGTCTTCATTCTTTTAAGAAGGACACACACTTTGATAGCAAAATTGAAGGAAATCGAACAAGGACTAACTAACTATCCAATAAATTTTGTTCACAAAATAGGAACAAATATTAAGCCTAACCGAAAAATTACTCTGGAATCATGAACTACAACAATCATCATTGTATACAGAACACACAGCTGAAATCTCAACAAATGTAACCTCAGGGTATTCTTTAAAGCATTATATACTACAAAGCGAATTCGTTCATCCAAAAGTCAAAACACCGGAGAATTCACAATCTAATCGTATCTGTGAAATATGATGTTCAGGATGTGACTCAATATATATCGGACAAAATTCTCGAGAAATCAGTATCAAAAAGTAACTATCGTATAGCCTCTGTTCGATCACTGAGAAACTTGGACAATGGAAAACCGGCTATAGAAATACTTTACATAAAATTAAGTTTGATTAGGAATAAGTGTGTAAGACAAAATTTGAACTGGCTGCAAAGCACTCCTTCCACAAGCGAACTTTATCAATACGGATATGATGAGGATTTTTCTTCACATTAACACATGCTGTTTCTTATATTTTTTAAATTCACCAAATCTAACAATCTACATCTGTCTGTTTTCCTTATCAATCCAGTCGCTCTACAACGCAGAATTACTTTGTATAAAAGAACTTTGATGGAATTATAATATATGAGCTGAGATATATGTAAATTCTAGTTGACTGGTGCTTTGATAAGACTGTTATCACCAGTACAAACAACTTTGTTTTATTTTCCACTCATTGGAAAATTCATATATCTATGTTAAGGATGCTAGATCCCCAGAAATCATTTGGTAAACGTCTTATTTTGGAAGTTTGAACTTCTAAATTTACGCGACAAAAGCGCCCACTTTTACCTTCAGTTTGTATTTTTTACTTGGAAGGACCTTAAATGTCATTGGTTCGTTCCCTTTTTTTTAGTACGCTATTTTGTGGTGTTTTCCAAGGATATTTTTGCACTGTATGTATACACATGAGTTGTGGAATATACATTTCCCTCAGCTGAATATGATCTTCTCCCTCTAGTTATCATGGCTGGGGCGCAGTGGGATAGCATAGCTTGTCCTGTTGTAGTGTTGCTGACTTTCATTCCGTTCGCCGGTTTTAGGCGATGTCGTGATATCTTCAAACGTAGCAATCTAGTAATACTAAATAATCTAAATGCTCGATTAAAAAATGTGAAATTTTAAAAATCTCTTATGATCTCCCAACTTACTTGTTTCTCATGTTTTATTCACTTTCAGTGTTGTCTATTTGTTTATTTAATAGATGAATGTTAAACTAATATAAGGCACTATTTACCGAATAGTTTCATTCATTTCTTTTTTCTTTTCTTCCCACTTTTTCCTTATTTTTTAAAAATAGAATTTATCTAATTCGTAGAATTTAATTATTTCTCAGTATACTCATTTTAAAAATATCACTTTCAGGGCAAAACAAACTCACTTTTGAGATATATTGTGATATTTTCTAAGCATTGAAAACTTATTGTTGTTATTCATCTGTTCATTGTTTACATTAAGTTCTGAAATGAAATGAACATTGCGTGTAGGGCGCTTTCTCATTTCAAACCTTTTTATTTCCATGTGATTTCTAAATATTAATCTCTACTCGATTTAATTTATTCGCGCTGTCACGCGTTTGTTTGTTTGTGTGTTTGTGTAAATTTAGATCAAGAATTCTGGTCAATTAGATTAAATCTTTACGATTTATTAAATAGATTATCGGAAATGTCTTTATTTGATAGACTATCGATGTAAGTTTGTGATTTCGAAAGAACCATTTGTCTTGATTAGTTTTACAGTTTAATGTCTGAAATGGTCGATTTTTAGCCATATTTTAAGTCCGGCTTGTTTATGCAGTATTTCTATTTATACTGACCATGTAAACAGAAGAAATCTGCAGTAATTTACATGTAACAGTTTGTTACAAACTGTTGATTTGCGATTTTGCTAGCTAACTATTATAACATTTACTCATGCACGACTTATATGAATCAACTTACTACTTAAATCTGCAAGCTCATGCTTACTAAATGTAATATTGTAGGAGCTGAACTTGTCGTCTTGATTCAGATTTACTGTAATTTTTCGGGATAGACAATATTTCAAACCGCTTGATTGTGAAAAGCCACTGATCAGGTTGATTGATGTGAACTAATTACTTGATTTGACGTATAGTGTGGTTAAAGTAAAATAAAGCTCGAAGGTAGATAAGGGTTAAATCGTGAGATGACACTAGTTCATGACGATATTAACTATTCGTCTGTGTACTGTAGGAAGGCTTATACTGTGAATAGGGTTATTGGTATGACAGAAATCAATAGTCAGGAAAGCCTTCCGTAGCATTGATCAAGTTTGACCAAAGTAGCGAAGTACCCAAATCTTGTTGGTCCAAATTCTGGATACCCTATCACTTTCCATATGATTCCCTATCCTACCTCATATCCTTGTTTATTTTAGTCTCTATTCTTTTTTATTGATTTCCCTAAGTGCACTGTAGGAAGTTATGATCTTTTCAACCAATGTACTTTTCTACGACAATCTATTTGTCACTGATATGGTAAATACAACATTCTGTTTACGATGAGCTTTTTAAACATTTGACATAAAATGCTACATACTACACTTTTTTTCAGTCAGCATCAAATTGAATAATTACACATTTTAAGATGAACTGAAATTAATCATTCTAATTTGTCTCAATTAGTTTTTATCATATTGCATTCAAATATTCTTTAAATTTCTGTCTTGTTTTACACAACTTTCAATGTCAAAGTAGATTTTATTCTTTATCATTCACAATAGATTATAAACTGCACGTATTTTGCATTCTAATTATTTTCTTCGATTAAATGGATGTTATACAATTGTAATCGAGAGGTAAATCTCTTGGATTACCCGTTCAACTGACGAACTTATCTTTATCCCTTCTGGTAAGATGATTAGAACTAGTAATGATTCATGAACAATTTTATCACATGAAGAGTCACTTCAATTGCTTGTGTTTTCAACTTATCTTTAGTTACATCAATTAGGTAAGGAATCTTGGCATTGTTCAGAAAGACAATGAAAGTTTCACAGTAATACCATCTTCACTGAGTACAACATCTAAATATTCGTTTTGAACTACAAATTTTGTCTATCAGTACAGAATTTATTGGTCAGAATGTTCTTTTCTTGTTATTGATAGCATAACCATTATTGTAAGTTTGATTATCTGATTATGAATTTATCAGAAAGCTGTTTGCTTCGTTAACTAGTTCCAATACAATCATAATTTATTTATACATAAGGAATTTCTGTTTTATTTTTTTATTATAATTTATCATACTTTCTATGTGCTTTTACTCAACAGGGCAGATAGCGGTTATGTAAATGTTTACAAATGGTCATCTACGATGAATACAGAGAATCCACTACCTGATAAAGCTATTGGTAATTTAGTTACCGGTGTTAATTCGCTTTGCTTTCATCCCTCTAATGAAATTCTTTGTCTGGCTTCTTCACAACGTCCGGATGCTGTTCGACTTGTATGTTTTCCTAATAGCTGTCATATTTGGATAATTTATTAAAGTGTCATGTGACGGTTAAAACTTTTGACTTTCACGGACTAAGTTTCAAGTTCAAACTCCGCTTTACCTATTTCGGCTTTGGCAACCGAGTGGTTTCAATAGCCTGCACACTTTGAGTATGGCTCATTCTCAAACACCTGACGAATAGGTTAATCAATTATCCGGATTAATGTTTTTTATTCAAATCATTACATAAGTTCTCAGTGAAGCTGACAGAGTATACACCTATATTTTTAGACGGAGACTCCACAGAATACGTATGTTTTATAAGTCTTAGTGATGTATCTGTCTAATAAAGAGTTAACTGACGAATCAAAGTTAATGTATTTGTTAAAACAATAGACAGGGGCTGTTTCCAGTGCGATTCAATATTGTGAATTATTACTATCATTTGAAGGTCAGAAGAGTACTTCGACTGGTTTTGGAAGGTCAACAGAGATTTTTAAGATGATGAAAATAAATGGTCGTTAAATTAAAATGTACTCTTAGAATCTTATGGCCTTCCTCGTTGTCTGTCAGTGTACGGTAACAATTTGATCTGGTTCATAAATTTATTCCCATGTCAGTGGTTGTTAAAGCACTTATTATGATCCCTTTTTCCCAAAAACTTGTGGGTAAGCACCTGTCTACTACTTATAAAACTAGTGTGTTCTGCCTGATCTCCGTCAAAAAAATATAGGCGTATATTTTCGGAGTTTAAACCATATCCTATCCTGATAAATTAACATATCTGATGGATTCTCAACCTCTCTCATATAATACAGTCTCTTGTTCAATCATGGCGAAGTTATTATTGTTATGGAATAAACGGATTCTGATTCAGTTAAAAAATGTTAGTGGTAATAATACATATGCTTCATTGAGAGAAATACTGACGTATTTTTTGTTGATTATTAGGCACCGACAATAACTTACCCCTTAAAATCACATATAAGCTTATAATCTAAAACATTGATTTCTGGTTCGTCAGTGTCTTATGTAAACTTTAAATGTCATTAAATTCAGTGTATAACACTATCTAATTGAACAAATGCATACATTGCTACTAATTTTACCATGTGTTACACCATCTTTCCGAATTAAGAAATCACCTATATCCATATAAATCATCCCTAGTCTATGCGTGTAATACTAATTTTGAAGTGTATCTTTTAGTTGTATTATTGTCTCCTTACATTTTTGAGTTTCGAATGGCTTGTGAGTGCCTAAAGTTTAGAAGTTAATTCAAACACCGATGTTTGATTATAGGCATGAAAATGTCCTATTTCTCTCTTCCTTTGAGGCGATAAAATGTGGTTTACATATTGCCGGTTAAACTAATGTTTCAGTTGATCAGTGACCTTTAAAATACTACCTGATTTATACTTTAACACGTTCTAATATTTTAAAATTTATTTTCATTCACATTTATAATGGTAGGCTTTCATGTAGCTTATAGATGTGCTTGATGTTTAATAGTAGATTTTTATTACCTTTAATATTCACATAGATAATCGTTAATAAGGTCGAATGTTGAATTGTATCCACTATTCTCTGCTTGTTGATATTATCTATCGTATTTGATTTTATGACCACAGCAAATGTTGGACATCGAAATGGTTCCTTAATATATAATCTTTTCTTGGAATATTTCTTTCGATTATCTTTAATCTTGAATTTCTCATCACAATTTTGTGTAGTTGACAGTTGAACTAGTCATTATGTAAAATTCCATCAATTTAGCCTTGTTGAGACATGTCACCCTAATGTTAGTAGGAAAATATACTTAAAACTATCGAATATTAGTAGTAACGTTTTGTAATGAATTCTAATTCCTTAGATGTCTACCATTCACTGAACAGTGGTTGAATTAGAATCGAATTAATGATGGGGTCAATTTCAAGAGCTAGTTGATTACTATCTTGTGTTAATCGAGGTTTTTTTAAACCTTCATCATCACTTGTGTTATTAAATTAAAAGTGGTTGATTATTTTGTATAACGAGATTTTGTTAAGACTAGTTTAGTTAGGGTATAATGCATTTGAATATTGACATTCAATGATCAACCTTTTCTTTATCTCTTAATAGCTTCATATCGATTTCGCCATTTTTCTTCCTGTTTAATTTCTTTTTGTGCATATTTATTTTCAGTATGATGTAAACGAAAGTATAATCTTTGAAAACTTTCCCGCTCGTGTTGGTACTTTAAACAAACCCACATCAATTGGATTTAGTCCTGGTGGGCGATTTCTTTGTGTTGGACAATGTAATGGTCGCGCTGCTCTTTACGCTTTGAGTCATTACAACGACTATTGATCTGAATCAGTCACCATTGTATATAGGTACTTTCTATTTGATTTTGTTCTCAAGATTTGTGTACACATTAAATTGTTTAAAATAAAATTAAGTTCGATGATTATGTGATATTTTTTTCACTGATGAAAATGGTTATATTGTTGATCAGTACTTTTTTCCTTACTAAGATGTATAGAGGCGAATTTAGTTTTGTGAAAAATTCCCTTATTGTCAGACTAGCGTTTTTTATTTTTATTTGTTTGATATATATATATATATATATATATATATATATATATATATATATATATATATATATATATATATAATAACATCTCGAGGCACTGAGTTGCACCATCTGAATGACCCAACCAGGGAGTCACGATGGACCGACTTATGACAGCCCTACACAACTTTCTTTGATACCTCAATCCCATATCATAAACTGGGTACCATTGTATTTTTTCCCAACCGGTTTCAGCGTTGGCAAATAAAGCATGATGTGAGAGTCGCTGTTATGATATTCATAAGAAATATCCAACTCGGTGTTCGAAGTTGGTGACACGAAGTGATTTGTGGTCACTGTTCCTGAACATGCGTTGGTGAACCTGAGCTTTAATGATACGATGTTTGCAGTGAATGTCAGCAATGTTTCGGAAACAAGGATAATGAAGAATAGAGTGTCGTCTAACATTATGAACTTGTATAGTCTATGTTTGAAAAGTGTAGAGGAAATACTTATTTTTTATTAAGATCATGAATCGATTGATGTTGGACCACCATCGGAAACCTGGAAGCACTGGATGACCGTTTCATCCTAGTACGGAACTCCTCAACAGTGCTCAAATCGGTACTGAACTTCGGTGTTCGGTTCATCAGTAACGGGTATCATTAGGAAAACTATTTAGTACTGAAGAACAGTTGGAAGCTGGTCTGCTTTAGTTTGAGACTCATATATAGTGTAGATTTATGCAGTTATGATTCAGTGGCTTGATAAAATCCTGAGCGTCACAAGATTTTTTAGATCCAGGTTTCATTTTTTTGTCGTGTACGTTGTACCTCGAAGTTTCAATTGCATTTTATTATTTTCTGTATCAGTTAGTTCACGTAACCGTCGTAAAATAAATCGTTGGTAATTATTCATTTCTCTAAATTCGTATATGTTTATCTGTTGATAATAGCGGCCACCTACTGTTATAACTGTGAAAGTAATGCTGCTGAAGGATTAAGGGATAGCGAATTATTGATCGGACCAAAGACGCACAAACACGTAGAACGACCTAGGGTTCTGATTGGTCTCACTTCCCTGTATAGCCCAGCCAATTGAGTCCAGAACACAAGTTTCAGCCTCGGACATATGAATCATTATATTTCAAACATACTTGTTTATATACCATTCAAGCAGTCCACAACGTACCATAAAATAGAAGATAACATTGTACAATAATGGCCAGTAGGAAAATGACACGTTAAATAAATACTGACCAATAAGATGATACCATTTCATGTCCAAGGATAGCACTAGGCTTAACAGGATAATTTTTGGGATATTTTCCTGAATATCCCAACACCTACCTAATAACTGGTAACACTTCAGATTACTCTCCAAACCTTAACCGGCATTTGAAGATGCTTCCCTACCTAATAGTTAAATTTCAGTCGCTGATTCGTGATCAAATAATTAGCGTACAGTTTTCATTTTAATATATCTTGTTCATCCAGTTTCATATCCAGTCAGTCAGCTACAACGTAGGACCAGGCACATATATGCATCGGTCCAAGTTGCCATACCTCATTAGTACAGGAAGATGTACACCAGATTCATAGAAGTAGTTACTTCAATGATAGTAATATATAAAAAGAAAGATTGCGTAGAAGGATATAATACAGGAAGAAAGAATTAGTTCGTAGAAAGAAAGGTATAAAGTAATTTTAATCTCACAGTTTAAGGGAAGACACTGTGTGTACACCGACGCTATTGTTATCGATTCTGTGCCATGTCACCAAGAGTCTCCAACCATTTTTACGACGGTCACGCGGACCCTAACCAAGTAGTCTGCATCTAACAACACAGCTCAGACTAGAAGTTAGTGACTTCAAGGACAGATGCCTCCGTATCCGAAAAGTAGTTGTCTAATTTTCCGAGCTAGTGAAAAATCTAACCGAAAAGAAAGATCAATCCATTTTCAGTAACTCACTACTTACTTACGCCTGTTTCCTCTCATAAATGTACATAGACCGCCCACTAGCATTCTCCATCGAACTCTGTCCTGAAAAATCCTTTTCAGCTACTACTCATCCTTTTAATGTAACTTATTACGTTTCACATTTATTTTAGTACTATTAAATTATTGAGTTGAGAATCACGATGGTAATGTCACGTTTACGTGATTGTTTCATCTACTGAATATATTCATTATTTAAAAATTCCAGTTGGTGCTCTTCAATCACTTCTAAGCTTGAAAAAGCCATTAGTATTTTATAATAAATCTCAGATAAATATATCCTCACAGTGAATGTCTAGAGATTTCCTATCATTTAAGGATAATTTTACTACATTTTTCGGGTCAACTCTGTCTTCTCATTGTTCTATCGAAATTTATAAAAGGGACTAATTGCTTTAAATTTTACTATGAGCTAATGTCAGTTGGAATACCGTTAAAATCTAGTGATTGCTAAGTATTTGTTTTGTTTTTGTTTGAGACTTCTCATCAGTACAAAGCTACAAAAGACCAAACTCGGTTATTCTTTTAAAGTTAGTTGGGAGAGATTTATTCAACTATTCAATGCCCGTAGTATAGCTTCTAGTATTGTAACTTGTTCTATCAATAACTGAATACATGGCGAAATTCTGTTTTCAAAAATTATATATTTTTTTAAAAATTGTACTATATTTAATCTTGGTCACACTGATGATTAGTTTCACATGTCAACAATCAACATATGCTGGAATACTTGAGAAACAGTCAAATATTAACATACAACTTTAGGAATGGTGTAGATTCTTTTTTTCAAAAGAATTAATACTGCTGTTAGTGGATAGCTTATTTCAAGAAAAATATGAAAGGAACAGTATCAAGTAATTTAAGTGAATAAGTATTTTAATAGAAATTCAATTGACATATTGACGGCTGAGTTAAAGTATGATGGTGAATTTGAGCGATTTTTCTAGATTGACCTTGGGAAACGTTTGTTCCCCTATCGGAGGAAAAATATAAAGGGTTAATTTATAATACGAAATGAAAGAATTTACTATGTAAATTTTCTGAGTGACTAGTGGATATTTCTAGATTGCTTATCAGTTATTCCGCCTTGAATTCAAAGAAAAAATCCGACATAGCCATCCGTCCACATGCATATATACCGTTTTACCTCGGGTACTCTTAAAAAGTCTTAAGCGCAGTTACATAAAATAATTACTTACATATCCGGCGTTTTTCCTCTTTTACGTATTATGGCTCTTTCTATATTAACGACTACGCCGACACTATCAAAAGATAATGGTAGTCGTATTGTCTGGTTCTGAAACATTTGCCAAAGAAGTTTTAGCTGTAAGCAGGATCTTTATTATCCAATGCATTATCAAGAGCTTTAATTGTCCTAATATTAAAGCAGAACGAGAGAAAAAAGACTCACTGCTGATCGACTTCCTGTTCACAAGGTATTGCTGGATTTTGTAATTCTTTCGATTCCTTGGTAGCAATTTTATCTCGCAGACGAGTGTTTTTCTTAACAATCCGAATTCTTGTGCTTGATCATGCTCACTTAATTAGATTGAGTCATAATGTTATCAGGATCATGATGCGATGTGTTTACCATCAACTTGAGACCACTTTCTTGACTCAGGTTTGGTATTATGTTTAAACTTAACCACAACTGAAATTCGGCGTCTGTTATTAGGCCCATATCCAAATGCCTGAGGATCAGCAAATATTCAATCAGTACATTTAAGTCCAGGTTTGAAACTAGCCTGATTTTCTCACATTTACCGTTTGCGAGTCCTAGTTAAGTTTTGAGTGATTATCGATGCTATCCTCTTGGATCACAATATTAGCCAGACTAATTCTTCTGTGATTATTATTGGAATATTTGTCCCTACAAACGGACATTCAGTGGTTGCGATCACAAGATACTGTAAATTTTTACAGAACCCAAAGAGAATTTCAAATTTGAATATGTAGGTTTTCGTATTGCAGGTATTCTGTCGAGCTGAGTAGTTTAATTTCCAATGATCGAAAATGGGATTCGACAAATCGTTAAACTTTGAACCTGATACTGTGCACTTTATTCTTAGTTTGCTGATAAAGAAATTCATTACTTTTTATAAGATACCCTAGGTATTTAATCAGTTACTCAAACTCTCAGTTATGATTTTAATTACTTTCTGTATTCATTTTAACTTGCGATCAAACGGTCCCTCGGATGATTATTATGCAATCAACACATCGTTGTGACATTGAATGGAGAAATATTTCTATTCAGAGCATAATCGGTAACAAGTCTGCACTCTCCTTCAACTTTCCAATGCATTCATATTTATTACTAACTTTTGTTGATTACCGTACACATTTATAAAACTGTTTAATTTATCGCTTTACACTTTAGAGCTATCAATTAGAAATTACTTCATTGTGACATCATATCAAACAGTGACATATCTAGTAATCTATGATTTGCTTTAAATATAGTTTAATTTGCCAAGATCACATTTAATAGTTCTATTTATTTATTTGAACACAAATATTGGTACAAGGGGGCATCATATATATATGCGCCACACAAAACAATGAGAATGGGAAGAGAAAAAGAGAGTAGGGAGCGTATAAGAAAAAAAGAACGATAACAACCACAGATTAGTATAAGGTAGTGTAATAATAATAATAATAATGTGGGAAACAGAAAGGTACAACCAGAAGAATTCTTTCAGGTAAGGGAGACACAACCACTTTTTATGAAGAAAGTAAAAGGTTACAGCAGGATCGCCACTGGCTTCTATTCTGAGCCATATCTGATAACGTCTC